AGCCCTCCAGGAGGAGGTCTCTGAGGTGCAGGGGGTGCTTGAGGTGCTTGGGCAAGCTTCTTGAGGAATTGCTGGGCCATGCGGTGCGTCTCCTTGCTGATCGTTCGCTTCGGCTTGCTGACGAGCCGTAGCAGGGCAGCTTGCTCGGCCTGCTTGCTGTGCCGCGCGCGTGTTGCCTTTGCAACAACCTTGCCGCCGCAGAGCTCGCAGTTGCAGACGACGTGCACTTGAGGCGGCATGCTGGACGTTGGGAGGGTGCGCTGGGCGGTGTATGCGCTTTAGAGGTGGGGGAGCAGGGGACTTGCCCGAAAAGGTAAGTCGCATACCATTTCATCCCCGTGCCGATCTACTCGCTTCCCTCCCGCTCACTCTTCACAGCGCCCCTACGGGGCCTATATCTATACGCGCCTCGATGGCGTGTTCCCCCGGCTCGCCCCCTTCCCCTTCCCCTTCCCCTTCTCCTTCGCCTTCTCCTTCGCCTTCCCCTCCTTCCCTCCCTTCCCCTCCCTCCTCCTCAACGATGGCCCCGCGCAAGCCTAAGCCTGGCAAAGGACCTCCTTCTGGAGGGCCTTTGCCGAGCGAAACGGATACGCGTCCCCCCGCCCCAACGTCCCGCACCTCGCTGTCCGACATCGACTTCACCCTCGGCCCTACGCCTGCCCCACCTCCCCTTCGCCCCCCTCGCCCTCGCGCACGCGCGCCTGCTGCTGTTGCTGCTGTCGCTGTTGCTGCTGTCGTTGCTGATCTTGCTGATGCTGATGCTGATGCTGCTGCTGATGCTGATGCTGATGCTGATGCTGGTGCTGGTGCTGCTGGTGCTGGTGCTGGTGCTGGTGCTGGTGCTGGTGCTGGTGCTGGTGCTGGTGCTGGTGCTGGTGCTGCTGATGCTGCTGCTGCGCCTGCGCCTGCTCCTGGTCCAGCTACTTCGCAGACGCTCGCCCCGCCTAAGCCTGCTGGCGCAAAGAAGCGCAAGGTCGACAAGGAGAACGCGCCCCCCAACGAGCCCGCCCCAAAGCGCCAGAAGCAATTGCCTGAGAGGCAGACCGACAACTCGGTCAACCTCAAGGCTGCAACGACAAAGAAGCCGACGGCGGCGGAGAGGCTGAAGGCCAGGGAGACGGAGCTGTTGGAGGCACGGGCAAAGATTGCTGAGCTTGAAGGTGCGCAGATATGTTGATGTGTACATTTCACTACTAACTATTCTACAGCTGGACTTACCGCGACGAAGCTCAAGCTCAAGAAGGCATTGAAGAAGCAGAAGAAGGATATCCAGCTGATTCCCAAGCCAACGGGGCAGGCTTCCAGTAAGAAGGGGTACAAGCTTCAGACAGCAATGAGGCTCGACAACGACAAGAAGACCTACAACGCCGTTGTGGTAAGTTCATTACTTGTCTGACTATACTATACTAACTAACTTGTACTCTAGACTGCAGTTCACGCAGCGTATCACCAGAGCGGCCTGCCGCTCAAGCCCAGAATCACCAACTACAGCGTCACCGACTTGAATGCAATATTCACTATTGTAAGTACTATCTACATACTACTACAGCTTACTGATTCTCTGCAGGCTAAGACCAAGGCTCCTGTGCTCGCGGCGTACGAGGGGGAATGGGCGACGAGGGATCTGCTGAAGCAGTACCTCAAGAATCTGAAGAGGGCAGCGGCGCTGGCTGCCAAGACCGCCGGGGCCGTGCATGGTGAGCAGGGCGGGGAGGACGAGGACGAGGAGGACGAGGGGGACCAGGACGAGGAGGACCAGGGGGACCAGGACGAGGACGAGGGGGACCAGGACGAGGACGAGGACGAGGACGAGGAGGACGGGGACGAGGATTTGTAGGCTTTCCCAATGCGGTCATTCTCAGTAGCTAAATGGATGAATTCAAATGCTGTTTAACACCCTTTTGCTTGCCTAAAGGCTGAGTTCCAGCCTCTAAGTCGCCGATATTCAGTCCCTAATGAGCTGAAAGCCCGCGCGCGATCCTTAGAACAGCCTCTTATAGGCTGATTCAAATAAGTAATTAAATAGATTTAATTCAGCAAATTAGCTACTAATCTACACTATATACTGATTATGTACCACTTTATGCGCATTACCAGCCACTTTGCCTAAGAAGGCAAAGTGCTGACAATGCGCAACTTGCGTGCGTCATTGCCAGTGCTGATAATCAGCACTGGTCAGGGTCCCAGTGATTACGCGCGTAACCACGCCGGATTGTTTTCCCCGAAATGCGGGGTGCCGTAACGACATACGCGGGGGCCGGTGTAGCTGAGCGAGCCCTTCCGCAGATCCCAACAAACTCGTTGCCTTTCGACCAGTTATCTTTACAACTGTGAACTGTGAGAACGCGGCCTATATATGCGCCGGAAAACGCGACCGGAGCCGAGCGCTCCAAACCCCGCTCAGGCCTGGACAGGGCCCATGCGGTCGCCGAGCTTACCGGTCGCGCCGACGTTCTGCGGGCAGGGCCACACCGAAGCAGCGCGTCGCCATTGTCCTACGGCTATCTCCTGCATCCTCCATACCCCGCAACATACCCCTGGCCCTCTTGCATTCCTTGTTTCCTCCCTCGCATTATACTGCGAAGCTCTGAGACTTATTGGACTTTCCGGAGGTTGTCGTGTCTTGTTGAGCTGGGCGCTGCGCGAGCCTACGCTGGAGGTCGTCCATCGCCGTTGCACATTCATGAAGAGGCGGGATAATGCCCAGCCCCCCTCGCCGGACGCATGAGAACGATGTGCGTCTCTCTTCGTATTCAGATCAAGGGATCGCGCTGACATCGTCTAGATCATAGGCACGAACCCAGGTGAGATTGCTGGTCGCTGTCCCTGACTGAACCGTCGTGCTGATCTGGAATAGTCAAGGCCGACCGGTTCGATATCGGTTCCTACGTGCGCCTTCATTTCAACCGATCTCAAAGTCCGCTGACATTCTCCCAGCCCGACTTCATCCCTCTCTACACACAGACAGACGACATCCTCCTCTCCGCGCTCGACTTCCCCACGATCCTCTCCGAGAGCTCGACCGTCACGCTCCCCGATGGCGACTGGCTCACTCTGACGCTGACGGGGATATGGGGCACGTGCGGGCACGGACACCAGATATTTCACGCGGGGACGGCGGTGGAGGGGAACGTGGGCTTGGATATGGCCCATGCGCATATGGCCAAGGGGCTGGTCGTTGAAGTACGTGCCGGCATACCCTGTATGACCCTCGTACTCACAATTGGGAAGATCGTCGGGTATGTGAAGACATTCGTTGGGGACGAGATCTACTTCCTGCGCTGGAAGAAATCGTTCACCTCTGGCCGATTCGACGCCAACCTGAAACAGTGCATCCTGTCCTTCTCGTTCACCCTGCCGGACTACTGCACCCAGGGCCCCACAGCGCTCAAGCTTCCACCAAGTTTCAACAACACCGATGGTGACCCGGGACTGGGCCCGCAAGCGATCCAGTACCGGTGTCAGGTGAAGGTGCCGACAAGCAAGTGGTTCTCGGACCAGACGTGCGTGCTTCCCGCATTCATACTAATCACGCGGCGGGCAGGCGCTTACTCATTGCAGCCTGTATCAGACGTTCCACTACCTCCCGCGTACAAGACCGGTACAGATCACTGCGGATAACGAAGAGGACTTGCATCAAAAGTTTACGAATACGATTGCGGGGATGCTCTTTGGTCAGCGGGATGTGAAGGTCCAGTGCACGCTGTCATTGTCCCGACCGCTCGTCTACTCGCGGGGCGAGAGCATACGGTTTATGTTCACACTCATGTCGTCGGACCCGCAGGCGCTCGACCTTCTCTCCTCTCCAGAGGCGATTTCGATATGGTTGCAGCGGAATGTACGGACTGTTGCACCGGCAAGATACGATGTCGTCAGTGACGTATCGAACAACTGTTCGAGGAAGGTGGCGGATGCACAACTAGAGAGGGTGCGGGAAGGCAGCAGCCCGAACGTTCGGGTTTGGAAGGGTGCAATACCTATTGACGAGGGTCTTGCCCCGCACTACTTCTTCCCTTCTCTTTCAGTCATTGTGAGTGCATGTCCACTTGATGATACGGGCCCACTGCTGACCACTTGCAGTATGGTGTCTCTGTCATGCTTCAAGCTACTGGCTTCGTCATGACCGCATCGAGCGAAGATCCCGAATCGTACGTGCGCGAGCTGCTGATGTTCGCGCAGCTGGCCGACCTGCCGGACGAGGCCCTTAATGACAAGCCCGTGTTACTCGTGCCGGTGGGGATCGCAACCGACCCGGCACAGGCTGCGCTGCCACGATGGACTGCCCCGACAGAGCCACCACCTTATGCGGGCTAGAAGCGGGCAGCCCAGCGTAGAGCTTGAATGTCAATTGTTTCGTGGTTGTGTCATAGTGACAATTTCTTGGTCGTTATCATGTGTATCATATAAGTATTCAATGTAACCGTCATGATCACAAATGACCGTTTGTGCGGTAATATCTCAGCAGACTGGGGCTTGGCGGTGCAAACTGAGCGCTGCTTCTGCCACTTGGCCGCTTGTGTCTCTCGTCAAACGGGGGTCAGTAAAACCCTCGGGGTTGATTCACCGCGTTTTACCGCTAACTTTCCTAGGCTAGAACAGGTGGTTCTAGGCTCAGAAAGGTCGCCAAAACGGACTCCAAATCCTAGGATAGATGTGAAAAGGTTGGTTGGCTGTGCGTCCCATAGCCTAGGAAAGTTCCGTGTAAAACGCGGTGATTGTTGCAGGGGACGCGCCAAGGTTTGCTTCCGAAAGAGGACCCTGCATAGGTTGCTTCGTTTTACGGGTGAGGACGAACATTTGCGCCCTGAGGCAAGTAGTGCATGTAGACTCTGGTTTTATGTTTTGTCAATCCAGGGCGTGGGCTCAGTCGTACTAATCCTTACTTTGTACTCCAGAACTTCATCACCTGTGCTTGCCAGTGCCATGAACCTGAAACCACATTGCGGTTTGCTTCCGAAAGTGAACCCGGGTGGCAAAGTTCAATGGTGAGACAAAAAGGTTGGACGGGGTGAGGGTTGAACTCACGACCTCTCGCAGGCATGAAATGCAAAGCGAGCGCTACTGCCACTGAGCTACGCGCCCTCACCAGCTAAAATAAAGCCCATAGACTTCTCAAAGATTATAGCGTATCTCTTGCCTAATCCCACAAAGGGTCAACCGTCTGATGCTCAAACCCCTTTTCGTCCAGAATATCTTATTCAGTGCTGCTTCCAGAGGCAAAAAGGGTCGAAATTGGGGCGAGTTTCATGGGAAAGAGGGCGCAAACCGCTTCTGTCCACGTCGGTTGGTTATGTTTTCGTGCTTTTTGCTATCATTCCGGTGTTTTCTAGCACCGGAACGTATGTGGGTAATCTGAATAGTTAGATACTTTCAAAGTACGACTTGCGAAAATCCATCGCAATTGTTTTCAGTGCGGCTTGCACAACATCGGTTTGCGCGCCGGAAACACAACTGAAACGTATTGAAGAGATGCCTATTATAGGAGGTGGTGCAGTAGGAATACAGTGTTGAGTGGTACTGAGACTACGACATATTTTATGCAGAACATTACATGGTACACTTACCAGGCACCAGGGGTAGTCGGCCTGGATGCTGGTCTGGATAAACTATGGAACGGCGTAGTCGCGCCGGACGCTGGCCGCGAGCTAAAGAACCGTGGACGAAGCGAACCATTCCCGTGCGAAGACCAATCCGGCAAAGATGGATTATACCCGCCTCGAGACATGAAGGCCTGCCCACGCGGGGCAGGGCTGTCTGGACGGCTGTCCCCGCCGCCTTCGGCCATCTGGTTCTCCTCGGCGTAGGAATCCAGAATATTCACCACCGCGGTAGTCAGTCCTTCTAGATCCCGGATTTCTTGCAATGACAAAGGTTGCTTCTCCACCGTCCGACCCTCGTCATCGTCGTCGTCAAGAACGAAGTCACGGCCGTCATCCACCTCCATGTCGTCTTCCTCCCCATGTCCAGAGCTCATACCGCGTGCCTTTGTCCGAGGAAGCAAACGGCTGGACCCAGGGCCGGTCCGGGACTGTTGAAGTCCAACATGGATGCCCTCATAGACACGAAGCATACATGAGTCGAGAGCGTATTTTAGACGACGAATGATATCCAAGACGTCGCTGGCTCCATAAATAGGGAGGAAGTCGTCGCAGGCCAGACCTCGGCCGTAGGTTCGAACGCGATGTGCCCCAAGCAGCACATAGGCAAGCGGAGAGAGGCGAGTAGTTCCTCGCAGATAGGTCATTGCACCCTTCTCGCCCTGACTAACGTTGCGGACTTTCTCAGCAAACGCAAAGAGCGCATAGGCATCGGATCGACCCTCCATATCATCGACGGAGTACATTTGCTCGGCCATGCTCTTCTGCATTGCCCTTTCAGTCTTGGGTCCGTTGACGCTTGAAGGGTGCATCATCGTACTCTGCACTCGCCGTTAGCTAGACTCGTGCCGCCTGATAATAAGCTTACCTTGTCGTGCAAGGTCCGTAAGATCGACTTGCCAGGTCTACGTGCAGCAAAGTTCGGCTGTGACGCAACCCCAATAAGAGCAGCAAGCAAAGGGACATTTTCAGCGTTTTCGTTTAGCTTCTCTGGCACGCGCGCGGCGTCCGCCCGAAGGGTAAGAAAGTTCCGAGTGACCTCGGCATCGGCAGAGATGGCGAGAACTCCAGCACGCTCTAGGTGTACCAGGAGGTGTTGCTTCAATCGGGAGATTTCCAGGAGGGTCGGCTTGTGAAGGAAGTTGACGATCACAAAGCGGTTGGCTTCTTGATACTGGCCGCGTGACTGCAGCGCGTTCCAAGCCTTGTAGGCGAAGAAAGCTGCCAGAATATCCGATTTGTACGACCGTGGCGACCAAGACGACTTGATAGCGAGCGATTCGTGTTTCTTAAGGGGGGGTGAAACAAAAATGTCCCTGCTGGACATAATGGCAGCGATCGCGAGAACAGGATCCAAGCAGCGGAAGAAGGAACCAAGCATGCAGAGCTTTCCAAGTTTAGTGTCAATAGGAATATGGAGCAGGACTTTGCCCAAAGACGTGAGTTCTCGTTCATCATCAAGGGCACCTAGCAGCTGAAGATTTTCCATGGCGGCGGACACACGGCTCACTGGAGGCGGTTCGATAGTCTCTCCTATGATTTGCTCCGTGCTGATGCCCGGGAAGTTGAGGGCTTTGACCCGCATTATGACACCGCTGAGGTCCGTGCGTAGCATCTCAACCACGTTGTATTTGTGCAGCACATCGTGTCGCGCTTTCGAGAGGACGCCGTAGTATTCACCAGGTCGGTGTCGGCCCGCGCGGCCTGCTCGTTGATTCAAGCTGCTGAGGCCAACCCACGCACTGACTAGACTGGATAATAAGCGATCGGGGTCGTAGCGATCCTCTTTCACCCGGGCTGCGTCGACCACGTAGACCACGTCGGGAATAGTCACGCTCGTTTCAGCGATGTTGGTAGACAAGATAATTCGCCGTATACCTGGACGTGCAGGCTCAAACACCGCCTCCTGTTCCGAAATAGGCACACTCGAGTGTAGAATGTGAAGCTCGAACTTGCGCGAGTCGTTGAAGTCGATGCGAAGGAGAGACGGATAGCGAGATCCGCCCAGCAACATATCCCGCACCTTGCTGATTTCCGGCCAACCGGGTAAGAAAACAAGCACATGCCCTTCTTCACTTTTCTTGATGACGTAAGCGACGATGAGTGCGACAAGCGGATACGGAATCTCCGGCATCTCTTCTGGATTCGGCCTGGCCTGCATGATGCGACCGCCGGTCATCACTTCATTGAGAGGTGTCCCGATCTCTTTGGCGATAAAGTCTTGAACAATCTTCTCGTTGAAGACCCACCCGCCTTCCTCGGGTGAACGAGCAAGACCTGCACGCCCGATTTCCTGCAACGTATCTTCCAAGAAATGCTTCTCCACAGGGAAGGCACGACCAGCAATCTCGACCACAGGTACAGGAGCTCCCGAGAGCTCGTCTGCAAAGTAATCCGTGAAGAGAGTTGGATCGATAGTTGCGCTCATAAGGATAATCTTGAGTTCCTTGCCCATCTTCTGACGTTCGTGCAGCAACCGCTTGATCACAGCCAGTGTGAGATCCGTATCGACATCACGCTCGTGCACCTCGTCCACGATCACATGGGAATACTCTGCCAGCCTTGTACCATCCGCCCGCAAAGCTGACTGCATCATCTTGAGGAACACGCCGGTAGTGACAAACGTGACGCTGCCACCGAGCCTGGGCCTCTTTGCTTCGAAACGCACTGCATAGCCAATGCTGTCCCCAAGTTGTTCGTTCCGCTCACGTGCAATGCGAGCAGCAACAGACACCGCCGCAATACGCCTAGGCTGCGTGCAGATGATGTTGCAGTCCGATCCCTTGCCAGCGTCGATCCAGTCGTCCAAGAGCAGCTGCGGAATCTGGGTGGTCTTCCCCGACCCCGTGGCCGCCATGCAGATAACAACGCCGTTCTGATTTACGATCTCGATAAGCTGACTCGCTTTGTTGAAAACAGGGAGAGTGGCGCGGGTTTCGCGCATCTTGACGACCGACGGGTTGGTGGAGTTCCGATACTCGTCCAGCTGTCTCTTCAGGCGCTGTGACTTCTGCGCGCGGAAGGCCTCTGACTGTACACGGGAGGACTCTGAGTGGAAGTCCGAAATCGTAGAAGCGCGGGGTTCGGTGGGTAACTGGGACTTTGGCACGCTGTGCGCACTATGCGGCGGGAGGTCCTTCGGCACATCCGGTGCAGTCTCGTCTTCCATCATCCAGTCATTCGCGTCTCCTTGCGGTGCGGACTCTATCGGAATTGGCGATCCTCCTCTCGGTGTCTCCTGCGAGGCGTCACGCGGTCTCCGGCGCCACAGGTCGGTCGACGTGATCTTCTTCCAAGCCATCTCGAGCATACTCTGCATTTGCCAGCTGATATTGCCGATGGTGATCTCCGATGCAAGTCCGACGGGTCTGTCCGCGGGTATATGCCAGAACTCCTTGTAGAAGAGTTCCCACAGCTCCGGATCGCACTGCGCGAGGTACACGGTGACGTCCAGGTACGCATTCTCCTCAGCGAGCTTCTTGTTCTGGCCCTTGCCAATGCCCAGCTTGCGCCCATCGATGGAGAGCATCGCGTCCCACTGATTGAGGTTCCCGCGGTTCTCGTGATGGCTATAGGTGAACGCGGGGTATGGGAAGTGGAAGCGCGAGCAGTAATAGTCGATGAACTGCTTTGCCCGAGGGACATCGATCACCGTGCCGTTCTGGAGGGTGACGGTGTCCTTTCCGGCCTCTGGGGAGGTCTTAGGAAGGTTTTCCGGTTGCTGGTCATACACAACCGGCATCCCACGCTTATCGACCTGAGAAACCCTGTTAGATTCGAGCAATATACCATCCAGAAGAACTCACCACTCCGATCCTGAGAATTTGCAGCCAAGCACTCAGATAAGCAAGCCTTACTGCACCTTTCTTGGGGCCACTCTTCACGTCTCCCACTGCAACAATTGGATCCACCTTGTTCCCTGCGGCATCCACTTCCGCCGACATCGGCACCGTCACTCTGGCTCTGAAGGGTCCATGCACCCCGCCCTGCGCAGTCTCCTCTAGCACCTTGACCCGTTTCGCGCTCGCGTAATTCATAACTGGACTCTTGGGCTCCTTCAGCCAGTTCTTCCACGACTTCCGCATGTGTGGCTCCGTAGGCGTGTAAGGAAATGTTTTCATGATACGCTCCTCGTCCCACAGGCCGTCGCCTTGCACGCCGGGGGGTGCCAGAGACTCTAGTTGTGCAGACGGAGAATTTTTGGGTCGGCCGTGGGCATCGATCTGTGATATATTAGCTGGGCCAACCACAACCGCCACTGAAGGGCGACGCACCAGGCGGTATGTGAGGATTTGCAACCACGCATTCAAATTGACGAGCCTCTCCGCATCCTTCCTATTGAACCCGTCTCCCACCGCGTCGATAGTCGTTTTTTCCACCCCATCCACCGTTACACCCTCGGGCACCGGGAACGTCAAGGTGCACCGGACCTTCTCCCAGCCCTGATCATTCACCACCTTCGTCTCCTTCAACACATCTTTATAC